TTGGACAGTTGTTTAATAACAATATGGTAAGTGTATGTTTTATGTTTAATATTTACTTTCCACATTTTTAAATCAATAAAGTATATCGTGGTTATTATACTTTGTGTAATATTTTAGATATTGTGACATACGAGTTATCCATTTTCATGATTGCAAATGGGAATTTATTGTTGTTGATTTTATTTGTATCGTAGCACGAGGTACTTGTAATATCCTTGGTCTGAGAAATAACAAGTTTATAATTGTTAATGAGCTTCAAGCGACCTGCAAGGATAAACCCTTGTTAAAAGTTTGAAGAAGCGGCTACTTTGAGTATTCGGTGGGATTTGTTCCATAAATGGCCAGGTGGTTAAGGAGCTCGATTCGCAATCTGCAGGGGTTCGACTCCCCCTTCCCGCCAAATATGCTTGCCGTTTCAGCTGTGGGGGTGACAGTCAGTCCCATTATTTGTTGGTAAAAAAGTTGGTGGTGGGTGGTGATTGTTAGCTGCCTTCTATCTAGTCTGTTAATGCTATATTAGGGACGGCTATCACAAACGGTCAGTCGTTCCATAAAGTTTGCCAAAGCTTCATTGTTATTCTTATGTGACCCCAGCAAGAGTTGTTTATTGGACATAAACCCCTACGAGTTCTCTGGATGTTAGTTATTCATTAGAAACAATTTCTTTGTAGTAAAATAACTTAAGGGTCAGTTACATCAATCGATAGATTATGTCTCGAATGTTACGAAATCAAGAAATATAGGAAGTATTGTTAGTCTTATTATTATTATAAAATAAAATGTATTATATGTCAGACTGTGAATATTTTCAATACATTATACATAGTTCCTGTAAACCATAGAAAATATTACTGTTTTTTTATAATCAGATCATTAAAATAACAATGAAAATTATCAGACCAAACATTTTTTTTTGTTGTTGCTATTGGCTACTATGAATGTTCTTTGTGTTGTCATGGCAACTGATGGTACCTAAGAGTGGATTACTGGTTTAAACAAGTTTAACTCGGTACCTGTGGGGGAGGGGAAGCTACATAGAAATATTGAAGTGATTTAGGTAGTATGATAAACATGCTGTACTTTTGATTTTGGAGTGATTTAAATTTAGACAAATTTCTGATTCATCATTTCATGTTATCCACTCTTCTGTTATATTTGTTCTTCCAGTAGAAAAATGACTTTTAGGACTTTAATGTAACTTAAACAGCTCTTATAACACTTGTAATATTAATGTTATCTATATACAAATGTTTTCCCTAAATAATAATATAAAAACAGGAGAAAAATCATGTCATAAAATTAATTATGAAAAAAAAAGATAATCCAGCACAAATCAACAAAATTAATTTAGGCCACAGATTAGTGAGAATGTCACTTTGTCTTCGATTTTTTTTTTTTGATGTGCAGTTAAAAAAAAATTGTATTTTGAAGTCATGTTTCTTCATCTGTATTGTTAATGTCTACTGATGCACCTAATCTAAGCACGTGTCTGTTTATTTCAGGCTTAACAAGGGAATCTCTATGTTTCACATTTTCTCTGCCTGAAACTTACAATTATAATGGCTTTCAACAGCACTTCAGGAGCCAAATATCTGAAGATAACGTCATCCAGAGAGGGACGAGGCAACCATTTTCATTTCGGCTATGCTGTCGAGGAGGTGTTGGATATGCACATCCGTGATGAGTGATAAAAACGCATCACTCTACCTGTCACTGTGATTGTTGATAAGAAAAACACTGGCTATTTTGGTTAAGTTTAATTACTTCAATAATTCATACTTAGCTTTAAAAAAAAAAAGTCACGGTGTATTCCAAATTGTACCGTCAGTAACATTAGATCAATATATTTACCACTTGTTTTGTATCTATATGATAAATAAATAGCAAATTCACTGCGTTAATCATGATTCTTGTGCAGTTATATGAATTAAACTCCGGAACTATGATACTCAAATACTCGCATGAAAATCAACGAGGCATAGCCACTTAGTGCTAGACATTGTAGATGTTAGGAACAGTTTTTATTGGCTGAATAAGAAAATGCATATTTACAAGAATATATCTGCATAACCAATTGTGAATTCCAAATTATCATGCAACTTCCCAACACATGAAAAACATCAAACTTTATTTGTTAAGAGGGATTAATTGTTAATATCATAATCAAATTTGTAAGGTTTACAGTATAGTCGTTTAAAATATGTTGGTTGTATTTATATATTCTTAATTTTTTAATTCTATATTCTGGAATTAATGCAGCTTTCTATCAAACATCACACTTTCCTAATGCCTAGCACACCATTAGGGCAGTAGGTCTAAATAAATGATAAAAGGGCCCCAGCATGGCCAGGTGGTTAGGGCACTTTACTCGCAATCTGCGGGTCTCGGGTTGAAATCCCTGTCCCACCAAACATGCTCACCCTTTCAGCCATGGGGTGTAATAGGGTGACGATCAATCCCACTGTTCGTTGGTAAAAGAGTAGCCGAAGAGTTGGCGGTGGATGGTGACGACTAGCTGTCTTCCCTCTAGTCTTACACTGCTAAATTAGGGACGGCTAGCGCAGATAGCTCTCGTGTAGCTTTGCATGAAATTCGTAACGAACCAAACCATAAAAAAAAAGGTTATATCTAAAATACTTTCTGGATAATTTATGTAAAGAAAAAGCTATCTTTAATTCATTTAATCACGACTCTAATTATGATCACTTGTAACTAATTTGTTAAGAACAGAATTGTGTGATTTCTAGTAAAACCTAAATAGGCATAATAATTTATAACTGTTTCTGATATGACAAGAATACGTAAGGACTAATCGTTCCTCTACATAAAAGCTTCCGTCGTTATTTTTAATTTCATTCTAAGTTCTAATTGATTTTTTATCTCATATAAAAAATTCTTGATTTCCAAACCTTAACCTTCCACACACACACTTTTTTTTTCTTTTTGTCATTTCTAATTTAGGCCTTTTTCTAGTTCGGTAATTAAGGAGATTTTGTTACTTCAAGAGGACGTTTTTTATGCAAGTCGACTAATTTTTTTTCTTCAAACTGGTTTGTTATGTTTGAGGTTTATTCGTGTTGTATCTTATTATTATTTTTGGATTGTCCATATTAAAGGTTTTTGTCATTAATTTGTGAGGTAATTAAAAAACAACAACAACATATTTTCCCGAATATAATGCTCATTTGTTTCCTCCAAATACCTCTTTAAAAATTGCGAACGTTCAATTTTGTTAAGTATTGTACTAGAAACTACCACCGAAAATCATTAAAAGGTTTCAGAAAATGATGCTTAATTGGGATGTATGATGACATGCTGTGAGAATCAGAAGAGGACGAAGCAAAGGTTCAAGGAAGCAAAACCGATGATAGCGACAATTCTAAAGATGACGAAGATTTACGTGAAGATGAATGATTAGCTTAGTTTATTACTAAATATAAAACTTTAAAATAAATTTTGTAAAATTGACACGTAAAAAAAAATTTAAATGAAAGGTTTACAAAAATGTTTAATACACCGATAGTTATTTACAGTATTTATAAACCATTTAATACATCTGATGTGTAAAAAACAACAACACGTACTTTAATTTAACCTTTCAGAATTAGTTATGCATTATATTCGGGCAAATAAGGTAACTAAGATCAGAATTTAAAAATTCATAAGTCATCTTACAAACTCACGTTATCCCTATTTCTTCGGCTATACACAGTGCGAGATTAAAGAAACGTGCAGAATTTATGTTGTAATATTTAGAACTTATCTTTTAATCCTTATTCGGTCCGGCATAGCCAGGTGGCGCTCGACTCGCAATCTGCGGGTTCAAATCTCCGTGACACCAAACATGATCGCCCTTTCAGTCGTGGGCGCGATATATTGTGACGGTCAATCCCACTATTCGTTGGTAAAAGAGTTGGCGGTGATGACTAGCTGCCTTCCCTCTGGCCTTACACTGCTAAATTAGGGACGGCTAGCGCAGATAGCCCTCGTGTAGCTTTGCGCTAAATTCAAAACAAACAATCCTTATTCCTAGACTAAATTATTTAGTGGGGTTTCTTATAAGAAATGCCATATGATGGGCTTTTTGATAAACAAACTCCAAACATGGTTACGTTCTCATTATTGTGTTCCATAATTTTCAAAATTAAATTTTTGTTACGTTAACCACAATTCTGGTTGAAATTCGTGTGATTGTTAAAGACTTTTCTTACATGAATGCTTAAAATTCGATGAAGTATTCTTTTAACTTTGAGACTTTAGTCGGGATCAATATTATTTACAGAGGGCGCCACAAAATTGGATTTCCAACGAAAGAAAGCAAATTGAATGAATTGTTTTTTACTTCTTTTTAAAAAAAGATGAAAAATGTACCATACAAGACATTCCCTAACGATTATGATATTAATATCCATTGTACCAATAAAGAAGTTTGTTAATATTTGTGATTAATTAATTTTCATAATACATGTATTTGGGAAATTCACAGCACGAATATTAAGATTTGTACGAATGCAAACTCTGTGTTGTCGCAATTGTAAACTTTTAAAGAACAACGATAAGACGGTTTTACAATTAGTAGTCTTAACAAAACCGTTTAAAAATGCCGAGGAGAATTAAAGCAAGAAACTATTAACGTAACTAATTATGGATTGTATCTATTTTAATGGCGGACGCAAAATAAAGATACAGCGGAAATGCAAAATGGAATTTTTAATGCACGAGATGGTTTAATCAATAAACCATATTTTCCTATAATTTATCTTTTTTTTGGAACAGTAAGCCATAAAATATTGTTACGTCTCCGTTTGTTAATTAACTTTCCGTAACTTCGTTCCGACGAAATTTTAACGACACAAGTCTTTACTTAATAAAAACTGGTTTATTCTTTCCGAATACAACTTTACCGATACACTCAACTTCGACAATCGCGCTAAACAAACACTATAACGAACGAACGTTAACTTCAACAATGCGTCTCTCTCTGACCGCAGTTCAATTACTCATTATCTACCCACCCATTACATTCCCCTATTTTATATACCAGCCTACCCTATATCTAGTAAGAACTAGAACATTCGCCAAAGTACAGGATAATTCTAGAAAGTAGAGAGCGTGAGAATCACATGATCTCGATGACGCAACAATATGAATAATGGCTGAAATAAACGAATAACTCCATGTAGACGAAGTAGCCTATCATCGTAACGAAGTAACACATCCTCACGAAATATTATTTCAACGGAGGAGTGTTTCCAACGTTGGTAATTTCCGAGTGTATTACTCCAGAGCACTAATAAAGTGTTGGAAGGTCTCTGTGCAGTCTTACATCGTCAATTAATAATATGACACTTTGGTGGTAGTGTATTACTACTGTTGCTATCTGAAGATGTCACGTTCCCTTTCGTTCAAGAATCCGCTACACAATGAAATGGTGGCCATTTTTTGGAACAATGAATAGAAGACACGATATCATTGAAGATGATTTTTAAGAGCTCAGTTACTACTGTTTCTCGTCGTAAATGCCTTTTAACTGTTGGCTTGAAGTTCGCATGTCTTTAACCAAATGCTACGCTTATCCGTATATTGAATCGGCTCAACCTAACCGAGTAATACGCGTTGTCATAAAAGCAGGCGCAAGTATTCGAGACGAAAACGAAGAAGTTTGAACACCATTCTGTTCCTACTTTTCAATACACTTATTTTCTGATAAGGTAGCACGTGTGAATCTATTGAAAGTGTTGCTGCCAAACTCCATTTTCAAATTCCGATAATTTTCCTGTATGTGGAAGTACCATTTCTCCAGTTTTGAACTGCAGAAATAGATTTCATTTTGGTAAGTTTTTTTTTCATGCCCACGTTAGATGCTAAACACTATCTTATTTGGTCACACCTTTTTTTTTCTTCCTTGGACTGAAACAGAATATCCAGTAAAGATGTGTAGAACTCTACAATACACACACTTCCAAAAGAATAGTCTCCCATTTTGAATGCTGGACACTAACTGACCTCTCCCATTTTGAATGCTGGACACTAACTGACTTCAATGTCCTCTCCAATTGTGATCGACCGAGAATATCGTGTCTGGGTTCTATTGTTGATGAATTTTCTTCGAACGACGATTAGTATCATCATTCAATGATAAACGTGCATTGTATGACCGAGTTGGGGCAGATGATAATATTCTTCTTTGTCGAGATTGTTCTGATGGAAGATTTCTTGAGTTTATATTTTTCCTTTTCGTGTCTGTAGATGATTCAGCATAAATTTACCGGCTTCCAGACAGATCAATGAAAGCTTCAGATAGGATAGTGTAAGACTAGAGGGAAGGCAGCTAGTCATTCAGCATAAATCTATCGGCTTCCAGACAGATCAATGAAAGCTTCAGATAGGATAGTGTAAGACTAGAGGGAAGGCAGCTAGTCATCACCACCCACCACCAACTCTTGGGCTACTCTTTTACCAACGAGTAGTGGGATTGACCGTCACATTATAACACCCCCACGGCTGAAAGGGCGAGCATGTTTAGTGGGACGGGGATTCGAACCCGCAGATTGAGAGTCGAGTGCCCTAACGTGATGAACAGCAGTAAATATGATCTGGTTTCCTGACGACTTTGACTGTCCTCCTTTTGTTTGAGAACCCTTTTGTTCAGTAGTACGTTGTTGCTTTTACCACACTATATTCGTATATCTACATTAGGGTTATTTTAACACTATATCGGAGAGAGATGGTAGATTTCTGTTCTTGTGATAGGGTGGGAGTCTAGGTACGTTAGGGTTTAGAAACAGTCATTTCCTGCCATAGTTGTTTTGTAGGACTCGGGATGTCTCACCTTAATGTTGTACAGAATATTCGGACGACAGCCAGTTAAAGATACCAATAAATACATGAATTACCACACCCTGAATGGTCACGATATTATTACCAATAAATAATAAAAAAAAATTGTTTGCAATATATTAAAGTTATTCTATTGTGAAATAGATTTAAAGTGACGTATCATTCAAACCATAAAGATAAACCTTCAAATCAAACGCTTTATGTAAGAAGTTCTGTAATTGGTGGATACTTTTATAGTTACAGCGAAATAAATTAAACTAGTCTGTACACTCAAGTTAACCTGAAAAACGTTTACTTTGAGAAGAAGCTTCTAAAATAAAAAGTATTAATATGAAACTTAAGTTTCACTTGTGATGTATTAACGATCTTTTGAGAGTGAAGTTACCACTAGAAATTTATGTTCTTGACAAAATTGTTTAATTAGGATACGAGAAAATACCTTGACCATTTTGTTACAGTAAGCGATTGTAAGTAGACCCAGTCAACTCTTGATGTTATGATAAACATTTGGCATTAGAATTTTAACCCTCGAGGTAGCCTTTTATATATATATATTTAAAACTTGAAACAAATTCTTGGCTCATGAAGAAATATCAACTTTCAAATAATATCAATTTTTTTTTAAAGGAGTTCTTAAGGAATGTCTCAAAAGAAATCCTAGTCATTTGTAGTTTGTACGAGTTTGATAGCTGTAAGTTTAAAATGGAATTACTTTTCTAGTGCCCATGTTATTCAGAGTTTAGTAGGGTATAAAGTTTAATACAAGGGTTATTGTTTCTGCAGTTCTCTTAATACAGGAACACGAGTTCCAAGTGGAATAGTTACCCAGGAATCATGTTAACGTTGTATATTAGATGATTAAACATCAGAAGTGGAATAGTTACCCGGGAATCACGTTAACGTTGTATATTAGATTGGATGATTAAACATCACAAGTGGAATAGTTACCCAGGCATCGTGTTAACGTTGTATATTAGATGATTAAACATCACAAGTGGAATAGTTACCCGGGAATCATGTTAACGTTGTATATTAGATGATTAAACATCAGAAGTGGAATAGTTACCCGGGAATCATGTTCATGTTGTATATTAGATGATTAAACATCACAAGTGGAATAGTTACCCGGGAATCATGTTCATGTTGTATATTAGATGATTAAACATCACAAGTGGAATAGTTACCCGGGAATCATGTTCATGTTGTATATTAGATTGGATGATTAAACATCAGAAGTGGAATAGTTACCCAGGAATCATGTTAACGTTGTATATTAGATTGGATGATTAAACATTACAGTACTTGTGTGAAGATCGAACGTAATGTTTCGAAGCTGGTGTAAAATACCTCGGTACAAGATAATGCTATGAAACAAGAAGTTTATTTGAAGATGAAAAATAACGATGACAAGTAACATCGACTGTTCATTGAGTTAGTGTTTAGAGAAGTATTCTTTACTGTCGCTAGGGTTAGGCTTCATGGTATCATCTCCAGGTTTCCAGCCAGCAGGGCACACTGTAAAGTAAGAACACAAAACTGATCACTTAGAAGAAAGAGAAGGAAAAAAAACTCACTAGTTTTTCAGGAAACTTAACACAAAAGAATGAGTCATTTTTCTAACAAGTATCAGCAGTGTATTTGTTAAGTCACTCATGGCCATAACTCTGCCACTTATCAGATGAATATTGTTAAGAACTTACCTTCGCCATGCTTGTCGGTAAACTGGAATGCCTGCACTAATCTTAGAGTTTCATCCACTGATCGACCCACAGGTAGGTCGTTGACAGTGATTTGTCTCAGATTTTGGTGGTTATCAATGATGAAAAGTCCTCTAACATACAGAAAAAAAAAAGAAGGAGTTACTAACATCGTGGGGGAAATCCATTTAATAGAATTCAATTTATTGTTAATAAAACTTGTAGAAATTAACAAGTCTTGTACTGATCGATACAAGGAAAAGCAGTATGTTGATGGTAAGGGAGAATGAAGTAAAAATTCAATCACATTCTAAGTGTATTGCTTAAAAACTGGAGAAATAACCTTATTCTAGTAGACCTTTGATGATTTAGTAATAGTGTTGAAAAGAATACATTGTAGGGAGGGCATTGAACAAAGTTTAAAATGTGAACAAAACCAACCTGAAAGAAATTCCTTCATCATCCTTTAAAACACCATAGGCTTTGGAAATTTCCAAGCTTTTATCTGCTAATAGTGGGATTTTCATCTTACCCAAGCCACCTTCTTTTCTTGGAGTGTTCACCCTTAATTTAATAAACAACTCATTTTAATGACTATCAATTTCGTTGTTACTCCACTCATCTTTAATACAAGATAAATACAGTAATTATCATTATATTATGAAGCAAGATTATCTACAGACTCTTAATTAAGAGGGATGACTTGATTTAGAAACATTTTAGTCCAAAAAAACTATGTATTAATTATCAAGTTTATTCAGACTTTTAGCCGGATCACTTGGACTTACCAGGCTAGATGACTGAAGTGACTGTCTGTAGAACAAGCCACTACTTCACAATCAATCTTCTTGAACTCCTCCACACGATCACTGAAGGATATAATTTCAGTGGGACAAACAAACGTGCTAAAACAAATCACAAGAGTGGTTATTATATCTTTAGTCTAATCAGAAGAAAGTTTAAATACATACTCATAGGCCAACAACATTTTATTCTAGAATAAATTTGGAGTTTAATAAAGAAGCTCTCACCGGTAATGCCGAGTGAAGTATTACAATACTCAAGTAATTCATAACATCCAGTTATTTATTCCTTACAAGACTGACGGACCTTGAAAGTAACAAATGTTTTTAAGAATACTTTTGTCAAAACTTACAAGTCAAGTGGATAGAAGAACAGAACCAGGTATTTTCCTTTGTAATCCGAGAGCTTGATTTCTTTAAATTCGCCATCAACTATAGCAGTCCCGCTGAAGTTAGGGGCAGGTTTGGTAAGAGCAGGAAGTTTTCCAGCCATGATTTGAGGCTGTTATAATAAAGTTTAATGTATCTCTTTCATAAATACATTTTCAGAGAACGAAATTATCCGTGATAAAACAGGGCTTACATTTAGAAAAGCAACTGAAGTACATTTATAATAATAATAAAACAACTGATTTAACCACACCCATATGTAGCTGTGAGCAAAAAAACAGGAAAAGGATATTCCATTTTAAGCTATGAAGACAAGATGCAATTACTGGATTATTAAACCTAACATCCTAAGCTACAAAAATCCACCTACAGATATTAATAATTAATATTAATGAATGTTATACTACACAAAATAACCTCAAGAGAAATAAACCTGGCATCAATCTGTACCAATGAGTTGTTATTTACAAGAAACTTAATTTTTACAAGTAAATGGTATCTAGAAGGTTTAGAAATAAAAGATAACTAGACTGGGTGGTGATAAAGAAAGTACAACTGGAATTTGTATCTTAAGTTCAATGACCATTCGTTAGGTAGTTTGAGTACCCGAGGTCCAAAAATGTTTTAAGACACTTGATTGACATTACATAACTATGGTGTAATTCCTTGTACATGTAGAAATCCAAGAACTGTTGTAGTTTTTATAGTGGGGGGGGGGGATACCCCTTTCTCAAGTATTCTTGATAATTTGATTTCAAATACTTAACCCAATATATTCAGTTTTCATTACAGAAAGTATCCAAGCCATATTATTGATATCACTTTAAGTTATGTACCTGTCTTAAAGATGTTGATTTAGTAACTTGCTTTACCAGAAATTCCCACATCCTGATATTTAAATATCAATCTTGTATCTGTAGTAACTTCTGGAATAATTAAGCTTTTACACGTCTCTTCACAAAAACAAATTAATAAAGACTGACTACAAATCTATAACAAGTACTTTAAAAAACGATTTTATCACGTTTTATGTAAAGCTAGCTTTA